TAAGATAGACAATATCCCGAGATAGAAAATAAACCTTAAATTTAGGAGGTGAATCCATACAGAGTATATTCCTTAACTGAGATGGAATCAAATTGGACGTCAATAACAGAAAGATGATAGGACTTTTTTCAAAACTTGGAAACCAAACAACACACTTTAAATAACTCATGAATCAAAAAGAAAGTCTAAAGGCAAGTAAAAAGAAATATATGGAATTGAATGAAAATACTTTTACAATCTCTTGAAATTTGTTAGGCACCACTAAAGCAGTGATGAAAGGGAAATTTATAGTTAGATGCATATATTATGAAAGAGAAAATACTTCAAATCAATAATCTAAGTTTCTTAAAAAATAAGAAATGAGAAGTTATCCAAATCAAACAGAAGGGAAAAAATAATAAAAGGGAGAAAGAATTAAAACTGAAAACAGAAAAAAACCACTGATAAAAGTGGGAGACCTGTTGGTTTTAATAAAGTATCTATAAAATAGCAAGCACAATAGAGAAAAAAGAGTGTGAAGACTTGCTTATTACTTAACTTACTAATACAAGGAGTGAAACAAGAGATATTATTATAGACTTGGAAGATATCAAAAGAATAAAGAAGAACTACAAACAATTCTCTTGGGCTTCCTTTAATCTTCTTCAGATTCCATTTGACCTTGTACATGAGTAGTTTATGGTCTGTTTCACAATCAGGACTTGGCCCAATATTTTGACTACTGACATTGGCCTTGTTCAACAATTCTTTCCACAGATATAGTTAATATCTGTGAGGTCCATCAGATGAGGTCCATGTATAGAGTCACCACTTTTTCTTTAAAAAAGGCATTGGTATAAATAAAATATGTTTAAATAATAGGATATACAAAATTCAACCATTCATTCTCCAGTCTCATTTCTGTAACTAAATTTATATTTTCCAGCTACTATTACTTCTTTGTTGTTTCTAACTTTTGCATGTTAGTCACCAATTTTATTAGTGCATCTTGATTGCACGTTTGGTCAATTTCAGACTGCTAAAGTTGGTAAAAATCTTCAATGTCCTCCACTCTGGTTTTAACTGTTGGAGAGTATGTTGTTGTTATTGTTGTTATGTGCTGTCGAGTCACCTGCGACTCATAGTGACCCTATGTACAACAGCCCTAAGCCCTGATTTATCCCTTGCCAATTTTA